TAGAGACGGGGTTTCACCATGTTGACCAGGATGGTCTCGATCTCTTGACCTCGTGATCCACCCGCCTCGGCCTCCCAAAGTGCTGGGATTACAGGCTTGAGCCACCGCGCCCGGCCTGGGTATCAGAATTTTTAAGCTCTACCCAGGTCGGCCGAGCACAGTGGCTCATACCTATAATCCCAGCACTCTGAGAGGCCAAAATATGTGAATCACTTGAGCCCAGGAGTTGGAGACTAGCCTGGACAATATGTTGACACCCCATCTCAACAAAAAACACAAAAGTTAGCTAAGTGTGGTGGCATATGTCTGTAGTCCAAGCTACTTGGGAGGCTGAAGCCCAAGGATCAAGGTGGAGATTACAATGAGCCAAGATCATGCCATCACACTGCAGCCTAGGTGACAGAGCAAGACCTTCTCTCAAAGAAAAAGACATTAGCAGAAAAGCTTAGGAACTCCAAATAAAGTCTGTAGTTTAGTAAATAGTATTGTTCCAATTTTAATTTCTTAATTTTCATAATTATACTATAGTGTTTTATACATATATATATATAACATTAAGGAAAGCTAGCCGTGCGCGGTGGTTCATGCCTGTAATCCCAGCACTTTGAGAGGCTGAGGCGGGCAGATCACAAGGTCAGGGGTTCGAGACCAGCCTGACCAACATGGTGAAACCCCATCTCTACTTAAAAATACAAAAATTAGTCAGGCGTGGTGGCACACACCTGTAATTGCAGCTACTTGGGAGGCTGAGACAGGAGAATTGCTCGAACCCAGGAGGCACAGGTTGAGCCTGTGTGTGCCATTGCACTCCAGCCTGGGTGACAGAGTGAGACTCTGTCTCAAAAAAAAAAAAATTAAGGAAAGCTGAATGAGGAGTGTAAGAAAGCTCTTTACTACCTTTTCAACTCATCTATAAGTTTACATTTTTTTGTTTGTTTGCTTTCACATCAGATCTCACTCTGTTGCCCAGCCTGGAGTATAGTGGTGCAATCCTAGCTCACTGCAACCTCAAGCTCCTTGACTCAAGGGATCCTCCTGCCTGATCCTCCTGAGCAGCTAGGACTACAGGCACAAGCAACCATGTCCAGCTAATTTTTTTGATTATTAGTAGAGATGAGATCTTCCTGGTTGCCCAGGCTGGTCTTGAACTCTTGGTCTTCCAAAGTGCTGGGATTACAGGCCTGAGCCACCGTGCCCAGCCTCCACTATTAATTTTAGAACATTTGTATCACCCCCAGAAGAATGCTATCAGTAGTCACTTTCCATTTCTCCTTCACCTAGCCTCTCCTAACCACTAAATCAGTTATGTAATCAATAACCAAATTGTGGACATTGCATGTAATTGAAATCATACTACATGTGGTCTTTTGCAACTAGCTTCTTTTACTTTGTTTTCAAGGTTCATCTACGTTATATTATGCATCAGAACTTTCTTATTGCCAAATAACATTCCTTTATATGGCTATACCACATTGTTTATTCATTTATCAGTTGATGGACATGTATGTTTTTTCCACTTTTTGGCTATTATGAATAATACCGCTATGTACATTTGTGTACAAGTTTAGTGTACAACTGTTTGCATTTCTCTTTTATACCTGAGAGTGGAATTATAGGTACTGCCAAACTTTTCCAAAGTGGCCTCACCATTTTAAAATCCCAATAGCAATGTATAAAAAATACCAGCAACATATAAGAATACCTCAGCCTCCCAAAGTGCTGGGATTACAGGCGTGAGTCACTTTGGGAGTCTGAGGTGGGCAGATCACCTCAGGTCAGGAGTTCGAGATTAGCCTGGACAACATGGTGAAACCCCACCTCTACTAAAAATACAAAATTAGCCGGGCGTGGTGGCATATGCCTGTGATCCCAGCTACTAGAGAAGCTGAGACAGGAGAATTGCTAGAACCCAGGAGGCAGAGTTTGCGGTGAGCCAAGATCCCGCCATTGCACTCCAGCCTGGGTAACAAGAGGGAAATTCCGTCTCAAAAATAAATAAATAAATAAATAGAATACCAATTTATGGCTGGCCATGGTGGCTCACGCCTGTAATCCCACCACTTCTGGAGGCTGAGGCAGGCAGATCACCTGAGGTCAGGATTTCGAGACTAGTCTGGCCAACATGGTGAAACCCCATCTCTACTAAAAAACAAAAATTAGACAGGTAGGGTGGTGCATGCCTATAATCTCAGCTACTTAGGAGGCTGAGACAGGAGAATTGCTTGAACCTGGGAGGCAGAGGTTGCAGTGAGCCAAGAATGTGTCACTGCACTCCAGCCTGGGTGACAGAATGAGACTCTGTCTCAAAAAGAAAAAAAAAAAAGGAATACCAGTTTGGGGCCAGGCACGGTGACTCACGCCTATAATTCCAGCACTTTGAGAGGCCAAGGCGGACAGATTGCCTGAGCTCAGGAGTTCAAGACTAGTCTGGGCAACATGGTAAAACCTTGTCTCTACTAAAACACAAAAAATTAGCCATGGTGGTGTGTGCCTGTAGTCCCAGCTACTCCAGAGTCTGAGACAGGAGAACTGCTTGAACCCAGGAGACGGAGGTTACTGTGAGCTGAGACTGCACCACTGCACTCCAGCCTGGGTGACAGAGTGAGAGTCTGTCTCAAATAAAAGAAAAAGAATACCAGTTTTTTATGCTCGCTTCAGGAATACATATATTAACATTGGAATGATGTGGAGATTAGCATGGTCCCTGTGCACGGATGACATGGAAATTCATAAAATGTTCCATATTTTTACTGGATAAGGAAAATGTGAGACATCTACACTGTGGAATACTATGCAGCCATAAAAAGAAATGGGATCATGTCCTTTGCAGGGACATGCATGAAGCTAGAAGCCATTATCCTCAGCAAACTAACACAGGAACAGAAAACCAGACACTGCATATTCTCACTTATAAGTGGGAACTGAATAATAAGAACACATGGACACAGGGAGAGGAACAACACACCCTGGGGACTGTCGTTGGGGTATGTGGGGGGTGGGAGAGCATTAGGAAAAATAGCTACTGCATGCTGAGTTTAATACCTAGGTGATGAGTTGATAGGTGCAGCAAACCACTATGGCATAGATTTACCTGTGTAACAAACCTGCACATCCAGTACATATACCCCAAAACTTAAATAAAAACCACAGATCATCAATACTTGTACTTTCTTTTTTTTTTTTTTTTTTTTTGAGACGGAGTTCTCGGTCGCCCCGGCTTGAGTGCAGTGGTGTGATCATGGCTCACTGCAACCTCTGCCTCCCAGATTCAAGCAATTCTCCTGTCTCAGCCTCCCAAGTAGCTGGGATTACAGGCATGTGCCCAGCTAATTTTGTATTTTAGTAGAGATGAGATTTCACCATGTTAACCAGGCCGTTCTCAAATTCCTGACCTCAGGTGATCCACTTGCCTCAGCCTCCCAAAGTGCTGGGATTACAAGCTTAAGCCACCATGCCAGGCTAATACTTTTTTTTTGAGACAGAATCTCACCCTGTCACCAGGTGGGAGTGCTGTGGCTCAATCTTGGCTCACTACAAACTCCGCCTCCTGGGTTCAAGCGATTCTCTGGCCTTGAGTAGCAGGAATTACAGGCACGCACCACCACGCCCAGCTACTTTTTGTGTTTTTAGTAGAGACAGAGTTTCACCATGTGGCCAGAATGGTCTCGATCTCTTGACCGCATGATCCACCTGCCTTGGCCTCCCAAAGTGCTGGGATTACAGATGTGAGCCACCACGCCCAGCAATAGTTGTACTTTCTATGAGTAAAAATAAATGAGTTCTTTGAACTTCAAAAAACAAACAAACAAAGAATCCCAGTTTTTCCAGATCCTGTCCAACACATATCATTGTCAGTTCTTTTGATTTTAGCCATTCTAGTGGGTATGAAGTGGTATTTCATTCTGATTTTTATTTGCATTTTCTAGATGACTAATAATGTTAAGCATCTTTTCACGTGCTTAATTGGCCATTTGTGTAACTACTTTGGAGAAATGCCTAGTCAAATATTTTGCCTTTTTTTTTTTTTTTTTGAGTTAGGGCGTTACTCTGTTGCCGGGGCTGGAGTTCAGTGGTGTAATCACGGCTCACTGAAGCCTCAACCTCCCAGGCCCAGGTGATTCTCCCACCGCAGGCTCCCAAATAGCTGGGACCACAGTGCCCGCCACCATGTTTGGCTAATTTTTTTAATTTATCGTAGAGACAAGGTCTCATTATGTTACCCGTGCTGATCTCAAACTCCTGGGCATAAGTGATCCTCCTGCCTCAGCCTCACAAAGTGCTGGGATTGCAAGTGTGAGTCACTGCACCTGACTCTTTTGCCTATTTATTTATTTATTTATTTTTAGCTCGAACGCTGTGCTGGGATCTTTTGCCCATTTTTAAATTGAGTTGCCTTTTTATTAAGTCATAAGAGTTCTTATATTATAGATGGAGCTCTTATATTATGGATATATTATTCTATGTGATTTGCAAATATTTTCTCCCATTCTGTGGGTTGTCTTCCACTTACTTGATGGTGTCCTTTGAAGTATAAGTGTCTGATTTGGATAAAATTCAATTACCTATTTTCAGGTTTTTTGCGTGTGCTTTTCATGTTATATCTAAGAAACCATTGCATAACACACAATAATGAAGATTTACTCCTGTGTTTTCTTCTATAGAAAGTTAGCGGCCAAGCTCAGGTGGCTCATGCCTGTAATCCCATCACTTTGGGAGGCCAAGGCAGGTGGTTCACCTGAGGTCAGGAGTTCGAGACCAGCCTGGCCAACATGGTAAAAACCCGTCTCTACTAAAAATACAAAAAATTAGTCAGGTGTGGTGGCAGGCATTTGTAATCTCAGCTACTTGGGAGGCTGAGACAGGAGAATCGCTTGAACCTGGGAGGCAGAGGTTGCAGTGAGCCAAGATCGCGCCATTGCACTCCAGCCTAGGTGACAAGACCAAAACTCCATCTCAAAAAAAAAAAGTAGAAAACTCATCCTCTGCCAGTTTTATACCTGTAGCTCTTACACTTAGGTCTGTGATCTATTTTGTTGAAAACCAACTGGGCGGGTGGGGTGGCTCATACCTGTAATCCCAGTACTTAAAGAGACCAAGGTGGGTGGATCACCTGAGGTCAGGAGTTTGAAACCAACCTGGCCAACCTGGTGAAACCTCATCTCTACTAAAAATGCAAAAATTAGCAGGGTGTGGTGGCAAGTGCCTGTAATCCCAGCTACTCGGGAGGCTGAGGCAGGAGACTCACTTGAACCCAGGAGGCGGAGGTTGCAGTGAGCTGAGATGGGGCTATTGCACTCCAGCCTGGGCCACAGAACAAGACTCTGTCTCAAAAAAAAGAAAGAAAAGAAAAGAAAATCAATTGACCATAATATGAGTATATGCCAATACCACACATCTTGATTACTGTAGCTTTGTTGTATGAGGCCTCCAAATTTGTTCTTTTTCAAGAATGCTTGGGCTATTCTAGGTCTATAGAGTTTCCATATGAATTTTGAGATCAGCTTCAAAAGTTTTTTCCAGAGACAGGGTCTCACTGTGTCACCTGGTCGGAGTGCAGTGGTGTTATGCTAGAGTGCACTTCACTTTTGACTTCCCAGGCTCAAGTGATCCTCCTGCCTCAGCTCCCCAAATAGCTGGGCTACAAGCATGAGCAACTACACCCAGCTAATTTTGTATATTTTGTAAAGATGGGGTTTCGCCTTGTTGCCCAGGCTGGTCTCGAACTCCTAGCTCAATAGATCCACTCACCTCGGCCTCCCAAAGAGCTGGAATTACAGGTAGGAGCCACTGCACCTGGTCAGCTTGATAATTTTGACCAACAAGATTGCTGGGATTTTGATAGTAGCAATATTTTTTTATTTTATTTATTTTATTTTTTTAGAGGCAGGGTTTCACAGACAGGTCTTGAACTCCTGATGTGAGGTGATCCACCTGCCTCGGCCTCCCAAAGTGCTGGGATTACAGGCATGAGCCACCAAGCCCAGCAGTAACAATATTTTTTTTTAAGTTACCTATTTTGAGCCAATTAG